TTGGGGAACAGTGTGGAAATCCTAAATTTATGCATTGTTATTGATTCCTTTAGCAATATTTTACATTATTGAATCAATTGTGGTTAGATACGATTGGTTTGGAGACAGATTCTAAGAGAAAGGCTCCGGTAGAGCTTTGAGTCGACTTTTGGAGCGAGGTAAGCTTCGTGGTTAACCTTGACTCAAGGGATTAGGACTTGTTTTCCTATTTTCTACTTGTTTAAATGTTGGATACAACGTCTATGTGAGGTGACGAGTACTTATGTATTTTTGTTGGGTTAAAGCATGTGGGTGGGACTTGTTCCTTGTAATTTATTTCTTTCTTTGATCTTAATATCCATGCTTAGTCTAGTTAATTACTAAATTGATTGCTCTTTGCGCATTTATGAACTATCTGTGATAATTGAGCATTGTTTCTGAAGTAGAGATTGGGATAGTGGAACCATTATTGACATAAGACTTGATCTTGCTTATTCTATATCCCTGTTCTTATATGTTCATTGTTACATGGTAAGGGAGAGTGTTAATGCACGAAGGGTGATGCCGTGCCATATTTGAGTGTTAATGCACGAAGGGTGATGCCATACCATATTTGAAAGTTAATGCACGAAGGGTAATGCTGTGACGTATCTATTGATTCATGATGAAATTGAGGGTAAAAGCACGATGGGTGATGTCGTGTCGTTATTACTGTTTTATAGTGAGGATGAGAGCAAAAGCACAAAGGGTGATGCAGTACAGTTTTATTCATTATGCTTGTTCATTTTGTTGATTGAAGGTTTATTGATTGATTCTTGTTATTATTCCCTGTTGTAGTTACCGTATCTTGTACCCCCTTCGCATGTCCCCTCCCAATTATACTTGTTAATTCTTTATCTGCTATTATTTTGTATGTATATTTCCGTCTGTACAGGTTTAATTACGTGGGTGTCCTATCATAGTCTCGTCACTACCTCTTCAACGTTAGGCTCGTCACTTACGGAGTACTTTGCGTCGGTTATACTCATACTACACTCTGCACTTCTTGTGCAGATTTTGGTACTGGTCCCAGCTATTTGTGAGGCGTATCAGCTCGGATTGACATTCGGAGACTCGAAGTCCCCTTCCATTTCCCCTATTTACTGTTCTTTTCATTCGAGACAGTTGTATTTATTTCAAACCCTATTTTGTAGAGATTCTAGAAGCTCGTGAACTACTGACTCTAGATCCAGCTTGTACTTAGATATTATTGGTTGTATGTCATTTGTATTCCATGTTGTACTTAGATATTATTGGTTGTATGTCATTTGTATTCCGTTTTAGTTTCTTTTCTGCTTAATTTGTTTTACTTAACTAAATTGATTAAAAATTAGCTTAAAGATCCTCTAACGTCGGCTTGCCTAGCAAGTGAAATGTTAAGCGTCATCACTACCCCGAAGGTGGAAATTCTGGGTCGTGACAAATTGATTGATGATCAGTAATATAAAATGATTGACGCTTGGATTATGGATCCGTCCCAGCAGAGTTAGGCGATTACCCATGTTACCTTGGGCCCTGTGAGCGTAGGCACCCGTGATTCTTTTGGTGCTTGGTGGACACGTAGCATGTGTCAGGTACATGGATTTGTGTTGTGAGTTATTGAGAAAGGGATCTTATGCATGCATATTTATATTTGCTTAGACTCATGCTATGAATTGAAGTAAGTATTGGTTACTAGTATCAAATCTTACACGAGAATTGAGATGCTGATATTCTATTTTATTTCGGTTATTTGATAAAGTATGACTAAATTTCGTAAGAGTTGTATTTGAGCTTTTATACTTGTTGATGATATCATGTCTAGCTTTCTGTTGGATTATTCTCTCATCTAGTCATTTGACTACTAGTGAATATCGGAGTCTACCCCTTTCCACTACTTTTTCGAGGATAGACTTGATATTTATTGGGTATCGTGGTATTAATCTGGGGCAGTAGATGGATCTTATAAACTATAAACTCTATATACAAAATCTGCACAATTTAAAATCAAACTTTTTTTTTTTGGTAAAAGATGTAAATAATTATCATAACAAGCAAAAAACCCAATACACCTAAAGAACACATTTACCTCACAACCACCTTCCATGAAGGGTATTATGAGAATAAAGGCCACCAACAATCCAACTAGTTACACAGTTTGTTAATCAACTCAGAACACATATAAGCTTTCCTTGAGTATTGTAACATATATATCCTCACTCTATTTTCATGTTGTATTTATGTATAGACAAAGCGCATATGTACATTAGTTTCTCTAAACATCTTCCAATTTTTAGTTTTCCATGTATGGTAGATCATTGTCGCATACACAGCAGCTATTATCTCTTTTGTACACTTCTTCCAATGGTTCAGTGTGATACATGTCAATATTTCCTCTATGCTCATATGTGGAATGGCATACCCTGTCCATGCTTGCATCTCTCCCCTGAGTGTAGAAAACCATCTATACTCTCCAAATAAATGTGGATGAGTTTCCAGTACATCCTATTCACACAAACAACACTTCTCATTCTCACAGGGAATGTTCATCTTCAATATTCTATCTTTAGTCTGCAACTTACCCTGCAAAGCCAACCAAACAATACACCTATGTCTAGGCAAGGATATAGCCCCCAAACTAGCTTGGAAATACTAATTTTGTTTAAGGCCCCCAGCATAGCTATATAGCTACTTGAGGCAGAGTGCACCAGAGGAAGTTAATTGGTATCTATCATTACAATACTAGTCCTGCATTTCATTCTTCAGCTTATACAATCTCTTCCAGTACCAACTACAATCTGTTAGAGGAGCGTACATCCAGAAATTTATTCCAGGCTTCATATACTAATCATGCACCCATTTGACATAAGACTGGAGGAAGTTTAGGGGGGACTAGAACACTTAGTAGATATTTAAAAATTACTCATCCTATAGAATGGGGCTCTGATTTAGATGAAAATCAAGGAACTCTAAACCCTAGTACTGGAGGTCTTATGAAATATGATCAAATGAGGATCGTGAGGAGTTAGCAAAAATGATTGCTTTGGATTGTGTACCATTTTCTTTTGCTTCTTCATCATATCTGACTATGTATATTCAAAGGATTTATAATCCCTTATTTAAAGGTATCCCTAGAAGTACTTGTAGATCTGATATCTTTAGACTTCATGGACAATATCACACATACATACGTTATTTGTTTAACCACCTTCCTTGTAGAGTTTCTCTAACTTCTGATATTGGCCATGCTGTAAATGGAAATGATTATTTGACAATTATATGTCATTGGATAGATAATAATTATCGTATGCAAAAACGTATTATCGCTTTTAAATATGATGAAGATTAAAGCCATACTGCTATTTTTGTAAGTACTACTATTTGCGAAATTGTTGAATTTTATAATTTTAATAAAAAAGTAATGTGTATGTCTTTTGATAATGCTTCTAACAATAATGCCGCTATTTCAATAGTAAGACTGCATTTGAAACCACAACTAGACGAAATTTTTCATGTTAGGTGTGCATGCCATATTTATAATTTAATCGTTAAAAGTGGTCTTGATTTATAATTTAACATGTTTATACTGCCATGTTAGAACAGCAGTGGGTGTTATTCAAGAAAATAATAGACAATCTAGAATTAGGAAATTTAAGACTAAGTGTATGGAGCATAACCTTAAACCCAGATTCATGCCAGATGAAATTGTTACTAGATGGAATTATACATACTTATTTTTAAAATGTTGTTACAAATATAGATTGCCGATAACTGAAAGTTGCTAATGCTCATTGTACTGATCCAAACTGTATATTAACAACTAATACTTGGGAGGCCATTAATGAATGTTGTTCAATTTTTACATAAATTTTATACAGCTACTCTTGAGTTTTCTGGAGCATATTACCTTACTGTTACTATGGCTTTAGTACATATAGCTGAAATTTCTTTTCTACTTTCTGAATTTAAGAAGAAAGAAAAATATAATTAAACTTTGAATTTACTCTTTTTTCGTTAATTTAGTTATTGTTTAATGTAAACTTTAATTTGCAAGTTTGAAATAAAAAAAGAACTTGCAAATTATAAGTGCAATTTTTTTTCATCTTCATTGTATTATATTATCTTAAATTCTTAATGAAATATTCAAATATAAAAATTTTAAAGTATTTGCATTCTTCATTCAAACACTCTTTTTATAAGTTTTTTTTTGTTTTTTATTTTTTACTTTAGTTATACAAAATAAAAATAAAAATACAGAAACCCGGCCCGATTCCTTAGGCCCGGAACCGTTCCGGTTCAATCTTTGACCGAATGGGGCCGGACCCGTTAAGCCCGATTTGTATAACCCGTAACCAGACCGGATTGGTGACCGACCTATCATTTTTTTTCTCGACTCGGACCGGCCCGGCCCACCCGTTTGTCACCTTTACTGTTAACAAGGTAGAAGCTTCCCTACCACTGCTTTAATGAACAATACAGCTAAAAAGATTCCATTTTGCAGATCTGAGGAAGACTTTTATTTACTTGGACAGAAACTTCCAACTAACTTTCCTTCCTTTTTATTTAATTAATAAATACATCTAAAAGAGACACACTCATTCATCCAAGACTTATGTCTTCTCCTTGTTCAGCACTTCCCTGGATAATTGAACTGCTGCGGAGTACTATTTCTGTATATTATCATAAATTATGATACCCAAATTCCTCGGTTGTTCGATTTTATCACATATTATTTTAACCACTTTAATTAAGATTATCAGTATTTAAATAAAGATTCATATTTGATCGGCCATAGATAGAATTATTGCATTAATTATAATAATTAATTACTTTGTCGGGAGATTCTTGATATTGTTTCCTTCCTTTTTGGTGCTATGTCATGTTCCTAACTCATTTAATTTCTTGACTTGATCCAACGTACTCTAGAGCGATCATGATATGATGATGGAACTATGGAACAAAAACATAAAGCAACTAAAAGTCACAATTTTTTTATCAGGTTATATTTAAAAAGCAAAAGAAATAAATGATCATATGAATAGTAAATAAGTTAATTACATTCATCTTGGAGAACATACCAACAGGTTATAATGTTGACACAAAAAGAGTACAAAATATAATTATAATTCAAAGAAATGATGAATTCTAAACAACCTTAGTTAGATCCACGACCACCGACGATGGAAAACAAGTTTTTTTTCACCATAAAGAGTGAATTTCCACTAGCTTTGTTGCTCATACCAAAACATAATTTTGATGCTGGCGATATATCTTCATGATAATCATCAAAAGACGATCCTTGGCTACAAAAACGACGTCGTCCATTGAAATTTGAAGGCGTTGTAGGTGCAGAGAATGAGGAATATTGTGAAGAAGATGACCATGGCAATGAAGAAGAAGAATGAGAAGAAAGTGATAAAGGTAATTGAGATTTTTTAATATTAAACTTCATGATTAAAGCATGAAAAATGTTGGATCTTGAACTCCTTTTAATGGATTTTTTGTTGGTATTATTATTAGTGTTTGAGTAGTAAGGAGGAGGAGGAGTAAGAGGAGGCAACAAAGAAGTTTCAGAAAATGTATTATGTTTAGGAGTACCAGGATGTAACTCCCAAGTAAAAGGGACAGAACTTGGAACATCATTATAGTAAACTCTAAAAGAAGGAATAGAAAAAGAAGCTTTGCAATTTTCCTTTGAAAGAAGCTTAGAGAAAAACTTGTTGTCTTCATGTTTGA